CCCCAAAACCCCAAAACCCCAAAACCCCAAAACCCCAAAACCCCAAGCATGTTTTAAATAATTGAACTGCAACTTTGAATGCTATGGCCAATCTCCTATCCCGCAATTTCAAATCTAGAATCTCAAGACTTAGTCTTTTAAACTATCGAAGGCAATTTTAAAAGGATTAGTTATTCAAGAGGCTTTATGGAGCCATGGGCAAGGAAATAAGATATCATCTTTGCCATTTCTTTTCCTGTGTAATTAAAGTTTAGAGATGCTTTCTTGCCCTGCATCGCCAATGAGTATAAATCATAAGCCTTTGCTGCTTCAACTTCATGCAAGAAAGTGCCGATGTACTTCTTGGCACCCTTAACGTTGATAAGAGCTTGCCAGTTTGTATTGTTCTTGGTCACCCCAATGTACTGAGACCTTCTTCCAAGGTACTTGTTAGGGTTTCCTCTGTTCTTTTTAAGAGTCTGGGTAAACTTCATGGTGTTCTTAGACATGATACGCTTTCTTAATCTAATGAGGCTCTTCCGAATGTCAAGCTTTGTTGAGCGACTTCTTCTCTTTTGAAGGGTTTTGATATTCTTGGCTTCTTCTTGATGTTCTGGAATATCTTTTTCATTATTGGATGCATGCGAATTAGATTTGGTTATAGATATTTTTGAGAGCATCTCCTCTGAAAGTGAACCATCATCTTTTTCTTTGACACGAATTGTTGTTCTAAACAGGTGAGCAATGATTAAAACAAGGCAAAATATGCAAATCTTCCACATAAATTCTACATTTTTTAAATTACTTACTTTTTGCTAGTTGATAGCTTCGAGGTTTCAAGCCATTGGGAGCTCTTATCTTCATTATTCTCTCAATTATTGGTACTTAATACGTTGTCTTCAGCAGGTAGGCAGAAGCAATAAGTTGCTTCTAAGTATTGTAACATCAACAAGTAATCCCAGGCTGGGAGTGAAGTCAAATTTGGTTGAAAACAGTTGATTTGCAATTCCATGTTTAATTATTATTAATTGTTAACTTTGAAAAATTTATAGCTTGGTTATTAACCTCCAGAAATGAAGAGACTCTTCTTCCAAATTTTTGCTAAAATTTTGAACGAGATATCAAAATTATTAATTTTTCATGCTTTTTTGATTATTTTTCAATATTTTGAAGAAGATGTTATTAAAATTTTGCTCTTTATGACATACGAAATTTTAGAATAAGAGAACTATTAAAGACTCATAGCCTAAGGAAGACTGTGGTAACCTCAATCTCAAAATCAAAGAGTAGGTTTGAGTAAAACATTTTGAGTACTTGGCAAAGATAGAGTCGCTTCCGTATAATAAACGACTTCTATATTTATTGACATCTTCCTAATGAGTATTAAGAGTGAATAACCAAAATGTTAATAAATCCTCTACCAAAGACCACTGGGAGAACACATAAGGCTTAGGGAAACTTATTGGGTATATAATTTACTCCATAGGCTTTATAGAACCGAAGCGAGGCTACCAGATATTTCACCATTTTTTTTAAGAAAAACTACTAAGTCCTTTTGAATTAGAGAGGATTTGAAATCTTTAGTTTGGATTCAAAGCATTTGTAAGGCATAAGAGATATATTTAAGGCCTATACTTTATGGAACTCATACATTTATGACCCTCTTGGTGACACGAAGTTTTAAATTCACTGTTTGGAAGGTAAGAAATATTATGATTATAAAGTCTTTTACAAGAAAGAAAGTGTTTACTCTTGTTGATGCTTGTCTCGCTTTAAAGCAGACTCAAGACATTTGAAAATTGACAAATCTAATAAATTTGTCCAGACCAATATGATTTAGATAGATTTTCGGATTCAAATTATGCACTTTTTTTTTCATAGTGCTCTTTCTTTTCTTAATGCTAGCACACAACATGATTTAAAAATAGAATTCAGATTAGCAGACAGAGATGAGAAGTCTGGCCTCAAAAGCTAAAGAGTAGATGCTGAAATGAAAAGACTGGCTTTGTCTCTAAAATTTAAGAGTTAGTCTTTAGCCTATGTTCGAATGCAATTTATGAAAATATTGTAAAGATATTGTCAGGATAAATTTGAAAATCATGGCTAGATTTCCAACTTACAAAACCACAGAATTTTACGAGCTATAAAGAGGATGCTGGAGTTAGACAACAAATCAGTATGCAAATCTATTGATAAATATCCATGTCAACATTTTTAGATAAATTTTCAATATGGCTGAATACGTGTGGGGTTTTGGGGTTTTGGGGTTTTGGGG